TGAGCTAACTCCCTGGTCCCTGTAGAAGCTTTTTAATTTGATATGATTTCATTGGTTGATTCTTGGTATTATCTCTTGTGTCATTAGTGTTCTGTTCAGAAAGACCTTGTCTATATCAATATCTTCAAGAGTTAACCTATTTTATCTTACAACAGATTGTTTCTGTTTTAGTATTTAGATCTTGACTCATTTTGATGTTAGTTTAGTACATGGTGAGAGATAAAGGTAACTATTCAATGTTCTTATGTGGATAGCTAGTTTTCCCAGCAATATTTATTTATTTATTTATTTAGTACCGGGGATTGAACTCGGGTCCTTGCGCTTGCAAGGCAGGCCACCGAACCGCTGAGCTAAATCCCCAGCCCCCAGCAATATTTATTAAGAGCTATTGTAAATTTTTGGTTCCCTTGTCTGATCGGGTAGCTGAATGTGCCTGGATTTGTTTCTGTGTCCTCTATTTACTGTACACATCTGTGATTTTTTTTTTGCCACTATCATGCTATTTTTATCATTGTAGCTTTGTAGTATAACTTCAAGTCTGGAATTGGGATTTTTTCCTCTTGTTGCCCAGGAATGCTTTTGCTATCCTAGTTCCATAAGAATTTTAGGACTGTTTTCCTTAATTCTGTGAGGAATGCTGTTGGTATTTTGACTAGAATGTGTTAAATCTGTATAGTAGTTTTGAAAGTCATTTTGACCATATTGGTTCTCCTTATCCAGGAACAGAGGATGTCTTTGTGTTTTCTGATGTCCTCTTCAATTTCTTGTTTCAGAGTACTGTAGTTTTCATTATAGAGGTCTTTCACTTCCTTGGCTAGGTTAATTCCTAAATATTTACTTTTTTTGATTCTATTGTAAAATGTATTGTTTTCCTAATTTCTTTCTCATTGAGTTCATTATTGGTGTACAGAAGCATTCCCCATATGTCTCCTGCAGTTCTCCCTACCAATGTTGAGCAACAGATTTTGAAATTTCTGGGTTAAATTTCTCATGATTCCAGAGGAATGCCCCAAATATGGAGAATACCTAATAATAGGACTAGTTTCCATTCTATTTGCTCACTCTCAAGGAACACACAAGTTTTCACTTGGTGTGGATAGGGAAGTGGGTTATCCTGACTCCATCCTGGGCTTTTGCAGGCACTAAGTCTCCCATATGGTCTGAGGGCTGGGACTGCCTTTAGTTTCCTCCTCTAAGTGAAGGTCTGAATACAGTATGCGCCTGTGGTTCCTGAACTTGGAGTGTACTAATATATAAGGACTGCCATAGTATGTACGTGCTTTAACTCTGTAATACTTTTCATATTAAATCACAGACACATAGATATTCCGCTAATATTGTCTGTAGAGTCAACTCAAAAAGTTAAACAGTGCAGTTGTTGTCAGCCATTGCTATCTCTTCAGTGACAGTGACTAAACCCTCTCTCTTCATATGTGAAATCCAAATACATTGGTTATAAAATGCACAAACCACAAAGGAGTTTAAAAGAGTGAATGCAAATAACTTAATTCCACAATACATGAAAAGACAGAAAAAATTATTCTCTAAGGCCACGTTTTGATAGAGAAAAAGGAATGAAAGATTTAAAAAATGTGGAACACTTTGGCCTCCAAGACTAAATCCAGGTTATCTGCAAATAAATGGAATGACTCTTGGGAAAAGTTTTCAGTGGGGTTCCGTAGCCCAAAGAAAGCATGGAGGTGGCTTTCCACTTATTTGTCTTTTTTGTACTTCAAATATTTTCACTAGTACATGTTTGTAGTACATAATGGTTACACTTATCATGAGGAGTTGGTACATGTAATGTTTTGGAGTTTTCATCATAGAAAGCGTATACTACTTTGATTCACCTTTGATTCTTTTTGGTACCGGGGATCAAACTCGGGACCTTGAGCTTGTGAAGCAGGCAGCGGGACCCCAGCTAAATCCCCAGATCATTAAAAAAAATTTTTTTTGAGACAAGGTCCCACTATATAGTTTAGACAGCCCTGGAACTCACTATGTAGTCCAGGCTGGTCTCGAACTCACAGTGATCCTCCTGCCTCAGCCTCCTGAGTGCTGGGATTACAGCCGTGTGCCACCACTCCCGGCTTAACGTATATTTTCCTTTGATATCAATCAATTGGTTTCTTTTTACATTGCTCATTGATAATGTGTGAAAATATAACTTTTTGTTTGCTAATCTTGTATCCTGCAACATTGCTGAATGTCTTGATTGGCTGCAACAGACTTTTTTGGATTTTCTACATATAAAGTTATGTCATCTAAGAAAGATGGTTTTACTTATTAAAAAAAAAAAGTGTCCGAGGCCCCTCCGCCTCGCTGGCTGTCACTGTCCAGCTGTCCGCGGGGCGCTGGCTTGGCTGTCCCAGCTTGGGGAACCTTGAACTACAGGTCCCGGCAGGCCGCGCGGCGCCGGTTACACAGCGCAGTGGGGGTGGCGGAGGGCACGGTTTCCTGCGAGCTCGGGGCTGCGTGGAAGTGCGTCCCTCGCGGTGAGTAGCGGCAACTGTCGGGAGACTTGCACAGAGGCCGGGCTATCCGGGCGGCGCGTTGCGCTGAGCGCTGGGAGCTGGTGTGACGAGCGCGCCTTGCTCGGCTCTTTAACCACTGAGGGACTCGGTAGGGAGCCCTGGCTTGTGACCTTGTCACCTGGGCCTGGCGCGCGGCCACGTGGCTCGGCTGACTGTCGGGCCCGCCCCTTCTCCCTGGACTTTCGGGTTTGGTGCACAGTGGGCATTAGTGTGGACTGTGCCCGCAGGGTTGTGCCACCCAGAGCAGCACTAGAGCCTCAGGGGGCTCAGCGAGAAGCCTTCACACTCCAGCGACACTCTGCGCTCCGAGAACCAGGCAGCTTGGGGCTAGAAAGTGGAGTAGAGCAGGGGCGGCCCTGATGTTCGGACTCTCCTCCTGGGATTGCGACTTGTCCCAGTCTAGTGCTCATCTCCAGCGCCTTTCAGACGATCTGTGCTTCCGGATGCGTGCTGACTGCAATCAGCGTGAGAGCAGCCTGTAGAAGACGTCTACTACAGATGTTTCCCAGGATTAAGGGGCACTTAGTTCCCACAAACTAGAGCCTCATTCAACAAGTATTCCTTGATGTCCTCCATGGTGCTTGGTGCTTGCTTAGTGGGTGCCCAAGAAATATGTGCAGAGTTGAAGTGAATTGGATTTTGTGCTGTCACACGTTTTCTTTAAGCACTTACTTAATGGGGGTAGTTCTCAAACTTTAGCAAGCAGCAGAATTACCTGAAGGCTTATTATGAGGGATTCGGACCCCATCCCAAATTTCTGATTCTGATGTGGTGTTCTAGGTCTGATATGAGTGCCGGGAATTTGCATGTTTAATACGTGCCCACAGTTTGAGTACCACTATTTTATAGGAAAAAAGCCTGTGAACTCTTTCTACCTGGCCTTTTTGTGAGTTTTACTTTTGTAGTTGTAGTATGCACATATTACTTTGGGTACGGTTAATTCCCTCCACATTTCTTCACATACAGATTTTCATGTGGTCTAACACATGCCATTTTTCCTGTATTACATTGTCTCCTATCTTTTTTTTTTGGTACCAGGGATTGAACTTGGGATCTTGGGCTTGCGAGGCAGGCAGTGGAACCACTGAGCTAACTCTCTGGCAGCATCTCCTGTCTTGACTGTATCATTTTGGGGTGGGGGTTGAGACAGGGTCTCACTATGTAGTTGAGACTGACCTGGAACTCACTATGTAGCCCAGGCTGGTCTTGAACTCACAGCGATCCTCCTGCCTCAGCTTCCCGAGTGCTGGGATTACAGGCATGCTTAACCCGGCTTAACTGTATCATTTCCTTGACCAGTACTTAACAGGCCTCAGGGATGTGAAATTTGACCTCTGCTGGGAGAGTTTGCATTTTATTCCTTTCCGGTATATACTCATCTTCTTAGGAGGTGAGGGACCTGTGAAATAATACTATAGCTTTACCTACCCTTCCCAGTATCTTTGACAGGGCAGTTCACTGAATAGCCTGTTTTGTTTAGATTTCCATGTCAGTCTCTGCAGTCCAACTTAGAGCTCAGGAAGCTGCTTGTTCTTGTCCACTGTGCTGTCTTAGTTGGAGCAGACACACCTGGATTCCCTTACTTACTAGCTCCTTGGCCAAGTTTCTTCCACTTCTATGGAATGAGGCTCTAACAGTGTGCCCTTTAGAATCTAGTTATGCACGTTACATGAAGTATTGAAACACTTGACACTGCACCTCTCTTGTTGGAGGGTGACTTCTTTTACCCTCAGCTTACTCTTTTTGTGTGTCTTTCCACTGTTCTCCCTGGATGAACTTGTTAGAGAATTTTTATTTCTTGCCAGGGTGAGATTTATTTTCCTTATCTATTGTGGAACATTGGCATTGATCAGAGATCCTTTGTTTAATCAATATCGATTCAAACAAACATCTAGGCATTAAGCACTAGGAAAGGCTATATGGTTAAAATTTGGTTCCTGTGTTGGACTTCATCACTATCTGCAGGAGAGAACAGGTTGTAAACATGCTTGGGCTCATGACACAGTTCCTGGGCATTGATTTGCCTTGTATGCTTTTAATCCACATCAGTGACTATTTTAGTTACTTTTCTCTTCTTGCTGAGACAAAATACCTGACACCCAAAGTTACAGGGGAAATGGTTATTTAGCTCACAGTTGGTAGGGGTTTCAGGGCATAATTGGCTGGCTCCTGGACAGGATGCCTTGGCAGAGGGGAATTGCACAGGAGAACCAGTTCATGGCAAGCAGAAGGTAGTAAAAGTAAGCAAACAAGGGAGAAGACAAGCCTCTTTGGAGTTCACCACTTGCCACTGATTTCTGGGGATGCTGGAAGTGGAAGTGTGGGATTTAATGTTTGCCCCGCTGGGTTTTGGTCTTGCTCTGTTCCCATTCCTTCCTATTCTGCTGTTTGGAACTTTTGGAATGGAAATGTCTGTCTTGTTCCATGGAATGTTGGAAGTGTTTAACTTTCTTTCCATTTGTACAGGGGCTTGCAGCTCAGTTTGCCTTCCATCTCAGCAGAGACTTTGGACTTGGACTTTTCAGTAGTGCTGAAACTGTCAGGACTCTGTCAACTCTTGGCGATGGACTAAATGCCTTTTACATAAAGGTATATGCATAAGTCTTTGTGGGGAGCAGAGGAAGAATATTATGGCTGTGTTTAGATGTCCCCCTAAAGCCTCAGGCGGTCATAGGTGGGGCTTTTCAGAAGTGGCTGATGTAGAGTGTGCGATGCTGGGATTGATTCATGGTGCAATGCTAGACTCAAGGGCACTAGGATTAAGACTGTGAGCACTACCTGCCCTAAGTAGCCTGGATAAGACATAAGGGATAGGAAGAGCTATGGCTGTCCCTTGTTGCTTTGTTACCTTCTGCCTGCTATGGACTGTTCTCTGTGATGCCTTCTGTGATGCTACCCTGTCTTGGAGCCAGCTGATTATGGTCTAAAATTTCTACACACTGTGAGCTAAATAAACCTTTTCCTTTTAAGTTTGGGTGTTGAGTATTTTGTCTCAGCAGCAAGACAAAAATAACTAAGATAGTGACCATGTTTCTTTGAAGACCTGTTTACTTCTGTTTACTTTACTTTGGGTCTTTGCCAGTTTCAGGAATGGTCTAGAAAAGAAATAATGCTTATTTGCTTAATAGTCTCTCTAGGAAATAGGAGGAAGTAGTGGTTACTTTAGAGATTTACTGGTATTAGATTCCTAAGTGCCTCTCCTCTGTAGTCAACCTCACTCTTGTACTAAGCAGGAAGAAGTGATTCTAGGCTTATACTCCTGGGCTATGGCATTGAGAGAGGGCAGCAAATGAATGGCAACTGTAAAGGCTTAGCTACTTTCTGACCCTCATGAACATTAAGTACTTGATTTCCCATTTAGTTCCGTTCAGGGGATAGAGATTTTGTTTAACCATCAACTTCCCACTTGTCAAACTTTCTGTTGCCTAGTTTTATGACCTGTTCGAGTGTTTTCTGTGGTCCAGTGAGATGGAATTCATTCTTATTGATTTGGCAAGTAAACAGCAGTGTCAACTTTATAGACTGGAATGGATTTTCTTAGTGAGATACATGGCTTGTCTTTTACTTGACATGTTTTTGATTTCCAGGGTTCCATACAATACCTCCCACATATCTGGCATTGTTTGGGGAGGGTAGAGGGTCAGAAATCATCGTGCCGCCATATAGTGACTATTGTGTTTACATGAGGACAGTAGTAAGAACCTTAGTGACTTGGGGTTCAAGTGTCCCTATCAAAGACATCATGGGCCATAAAAAAAAGAGAAAGGCTGAACACTTGGATAGGGAAAGCCTTGATCAAGTTTTAATCTGCCATTTTACTAGGTGAGCCACCTGGGGAAAATCACTCATGGTCTCTGGTCCTTGGTTTTCTCATTTATACCTGGGATGGTGTATTTGTCTTCCTTCCCTGGGTTGCATGGAATATCTAATGAGATGAGTGTAAAGGGCTCTAAAAAGGATAGTTATTACTAATATTATCTAGTGATTAGTTTTCAGGCTCTTTGTGGCTTTAGATCCCCGAAGTTATATACTGTTAAGATAGGTAACTCAGGTAAAAGTAAAAAAAATGCAAGTAACTAGAACAGGACAGATGATTCATTAGCAAAGTGTTTAATAATGAAAGATGTTTTTCACTAACAGACATATTTCATGCCTGACAGGTCTTTTAAAATACTCCAAGGGAAGCAGTTAATTTGCATGTTAAAGACTCACTGATATCTTATGGAAAACTCCAGCTCCAATCTATTTAGACACAGTTTGGCTCCCCTACTGGAATCATCTATTTTATGTATTTCAGTTCTCACCTCTTTTATTACTGAGGACCTTTGCTTGGAAACTGGGTTTGAGAGTGGTTGCTTTGCTGCCACGTTCCCGCACAGATGTGATCTCAAGGGTAGAGGTGACCTTGTATATCAGGGGCCAAGTATGGGGGTAGTACAAGAGGAGGATGGAACCAAGAACTGGGAGGTCGTGTTGGGGATAAGGGGGAGAATGGCTATTGTATTGGCAGAGCAGAGTGTGTATTTCCACCTGGAGACCTGTGTTGCTATTGGCTTTGCATAGGCCTTTTAGGGTATAGTTCATTCATTGACTGCTTCAATAAATGCTTTTGGAGGGCTACTAGGCCAATGTGTGGCAAATAAAACTTCGGGGTCAAATCAGGCTGTGCTCATTCCTCTGCCTGTCCTCTGAGGTTGCTCTGGGCTATATGGTATAGAGAAATGGTATTGCCCAGGGCTGGGGATTTAGCTCAGTGGTGCTGCTGCTTGCCTTGCAAATGCAAGGTTCTGAATTTGATCCCTGGTACCAAAACAAACAAACAAACAACAAAACAAAGAAATGGTATAGCCCACAAAGCCAAAAATAGTTACTGTAAGGCCCTTTACAGAAGAAATTTGCTGGTTCTCCTCTAGGCAGAGAAACCAGCAAGGGCAAAGGCTGAAGTAAGGCCACATCATGCCTGACATGTTGGAGTACCCGCAAGGTGACCAGTGCTGTTCGAATGGAGAAGGAAAAGTGGAAGGGCCTGAGACCCCAGGAGCAAGAGGGGAGCAGATCGTATAAGGCCTAGTAGGCTGTGCCCAGCCTCGGCTCTTCATGAATGAGGTGGGAGCCACTGGAGAGGTTGGTACATAGGAGTGCATAACTGGACTTGTTTTCATGTTGAGCTTAGACTGGGAAAAGACTCACCCACTCATTAGTTTCATCATTTATTAGCAGGTCTATTGTATTTAAGTCTCATTTGGTCTTGAGGTCTTTCCTAGGAGTGGTCATCAACTCTAGTCCTGCCCTGATGGGGGCCTAAGAGATTTGGTTCTGGATGTTTACCGTGTGCCTTTCTCAGGCTTTTTTTTTTTTTTTTTTTTTGGTGCCAGGGATCAAACTCAGGACCTTGCACTTGCAAGGTAGGTGGCAGCACCACGGAACTAAATCCCTGGTTCTTCTTAGGATATTTCTTTATCCAGGTAGACAGCCTAATACATGTTTCCAAACTGCCACCAGGTGTTTTTGTTGCAATGCATGTATTTTTTTTTTTTCTTTTTTGGTACTAGGGTTCGAAGTCAGGTCCTTGTGCTTGGGAGGCAGGCGGCGGAACCACTGATCTAAACCCTCGGCCCCACAGTGCACATATTTATAATGGCAGATTCCCCATGGCTCTCATCTGGCTGGGTCCAGTTTATCCCTTCCAAGGTAGCCACTCTGTAGCAGGTCCTGGAGAAGAGTTAGGTTCAGGTGTGCCGCTCAGGTGTTACACAAAGGAGGCAGCTCAACAAAACAATGAAGTAACAGAGCCTTTGCGTATTCACAGATCCAGGTGCCCATAGGGGAGTGAAGAAAAGTCTGGAGGCACTCAGCAGGTGCTCAGAGGGGAGAGAGAAACAGAGAGGTAGAGGGGCTGTGTGCCAAAGTCTTTATTAGTGTCGAGGACTTACCTGGAAAGTTCCCCAGGAAGTTGTTTGGTAGGTGTAGAGCAAGGAGGTCACACTGTAACTGAGAGGTCACCACTGCGGTATATCTCTGCAGTCTTTGCCAGGTATGGGGGTGAAAAGGGCCAGTGGAGCAGGTTGTATCTGTCCCATAGCTGCCTGTTTGGGAGGTCATCACCACGAGGCGAGGCAGTTATCTGGATCAACTGCACTGAGAAGCTGGGGAGGAGGCAGGAACTCAAGGGTGATGAGGGCTACCTTGGACTCAGCAGGGTATTCACTTGTATTCACAGTGAATGCCAAGGCATCGTAAAACAATAGGGACTCCTGATGTTGTAGGGCCCAGGAGTTTGCCACTTCTTACAGTGGCACTTAGGTTGACATTTTTTCAGTTGTTCCTCTGAGTACACTTCACGAATATTCGGGTAGAAACAGAAGGCTACAAAGGGAAAAAACAAAGGACTTCTGGAAATTACTAAGTTCAGAAAAAATCAAGAGAGGAGAGAAATGTGGGGGAAGTGGGAAGGGTAGGATAGGGGAAATAGGGAAAAGAAAAAAATGAGAAAATGAAAAAATGGAAATAACATTTTTGTAAATTGGGAAGGGAGGAGGGGGTGAAGGGAGGGCAGGGGTATGGGGAAAAATGAGAACCAAGACCTGTCATGTTAAGGTACAAGATCCCAATGATGAATCTAACATGTACCAATAAATGCAATGAAGAAAAATAGATAAAATAAAAAAAGAGAGGAGAGAAAAAGAAACATAACAGGTAGGAAAACTAGAAAGCATGGCAGTTGATAAAATTTACATCCAGATGCATAAGTTTTATAAAATACAAACATAAAGAGTCAACTGTGTGCTGTTTAGAGAAGCAGTATAAACTGTGAGTGGAAAGTAACAGAATGGAAAAAGATGTACCTTATAAATACTTTTATTAAAACCTGCGAGGAAAACCTGTGTGGCTGTGTAATGAGGCATGAGTGAAAATAGACTTTAAATGAAAATGAGGCTGTTTGGAACAGTAGTTTCCATATACAGGTGAAGCAGGCTCAGAACAGGGAGCCAGTGGTGACAGACTCAGTCTGGAGCAGAAGCACAGCGATGATCTGCATCTGGCTGTTGTGTCTGTGCGGGGATTGTACTGGCAGGTGGCGTGGCGGTAATCTTGTCCTCCGAGGCCTCTACCTGGCAGCTGCAGCCGGGGTCAGGGACTTTAGTCCGATACAGAATGCTCAGGAGTTGTAGAGGAAGCAGTGCACTGGGGTGCCCTGGCCCCAGAGGAAGGCTGTATGGCCACCTGGTGGGCTGAGCAGGAACAGGTGGGTGGGGGGGTCGGGCATGGTGGTGCACACCTGTAATCCCAGCACTTGGGAGTTGGAGGCAGGAGGATCACTGTGAGTTAGAGGTCCAGAGCCTGGGATACATAGTTCAAGGCCAGCCTAAACTACATAGCAAGACCCTGTCTCAAAAAAAAAAAAAAAAAAAAAAAAAAAAGGGTGGGGAAAGGTCACATTGATCAGTATATGAGTTTTGTTAAAGAGATCAAATCAATAAGTGGACACTGAGCCCTAACCAGAATGTACCTTGCAAGACTGTGTGTGGACAAAATAGAGACAGTCATGGTGTTTGCTCCCAAGGATGTACAGTCTAGACAAGGGACAATGTACTTTAACTAAAGTAAAAATTTTGGAAATCAAGCAGATGGGAGGGCTTACTGCTTCTGCCCAGCTGCCAATTTGGTGGTGGCTTGCCCACTTTTGACCTGGGCACCAAGGCTAATGATACCTTTACATGCATGTTGTATTGTAATAGGAGTAGCAACAGTTAGCATGCCTTCATATTTTTCCAATCTAAAATGGCATCCTTCATTTCTTGGGATCACCATACCCTGTTTGCTTTTCATCTCAGCACTCAGTAGCAGTTCTGCTACTCTAGAATATTATATAACTTTTTGCTTGTTATCTTTCGTCCCCCTTAGAGGGTGAGCCCCATGTGGGTGAGAACGTCACTCTTTCCCATATCTAGAATAGTATCTAGCACTGTTGAAGGGAAGACTTTGAGAGTTGAATTGTACCAGGAACCATGCTAACTTTTGTAGGTACATTATTTGATTTTTGTCTCAAGAATTTTGTGGTAAGCATCATCCTATTTTACAAGTAATGAGACTAAGGCTCAGTGAGATTCAGGAAATGATCCTGGGTCATACAGTCTGTAAGTGGCACAGCTGGAATTTGAATCCTGGATTGACCATGAAACCTTTTGTTGGTATCTATCTCAACTTTTCTTTCTTCTGCAGGGCCTGAGGACATGGCCAGAAAGGCTCTCAAGCTTGCTTCATGGACCAGCCTTGCTCTTGCTGCCTCTGGGAGTTACCTCTACAGCAACAAGTACTTGGACCCTAATGATTTTGGTGCTGTCAGGGTGGGCAGAGCAGTTGCTACGGTAGGTTTTTCTCATTTTGAGGGTAGCCGAGGAACTACAGTATTACTTGCAGGTATACCGTACATGCAGCAGATGGGCAAGTAGGTCATACACGTGTACTGTTACATGTGCCAAAACTCCATCTAAGCAGTTGCACAGCCATGGAGGTGCATCCTCGTGTATCTTCATTCCTCTACACACAGCCTCTGCCATCCTGCAGTTAAATAGAATGTGATTGCATGAGGTCTCTGCTCTGAACCTTTGCATTTTAGCTTTCGTATTATAGTGGTAGCTCATAGGGGCAGCACTTCTCAGTAAACACAGAGGAAAGAAGACTTTATGGAAAGAAGATTTTGCAGATTAAATTCTGCCAGCAAGCTTGATCTCATTCTAGTGAGTTAGTGTGAATGATTCAAGACTCTAGAGCAGGGATGGCGAACCTTGTAGAGCTTTCAGTAATATAGACAGCCCGCTGCGGCACACGAGCCATAGGTTTGTCACCACTGCTCTGGAGTAGCCAGGCCCTGGGAAACTTTGAGAATCTCCTTGGTTCCCCAAACAGAAAGAGTGAATCCAAGTTAAATATTGGATCTTTAGAGGTTTTCTTCAGTGGCTCAATAGCAACATTGTCCTGGTGTGATCATGCCCTGTAACTCTGCAGATAGCGGCTGTCCCAGAAATTGCTGTAGAATTGGCCCATGAGTGTCACATGCCAGATGCTCTCTGTCATCCTGTATCCACTGCAGGTGAGCTTGTCCTTTCCTATCTTTGATGTGGATATGCATCAATATACAATTCTTATTATTTAATTACTTCCTTAGTACTTGGTGCTACCTACCAACTGTCCTCTTGAGCATGACTCAGAGGGGAGACCACTGATGTGGTGCCTGTGTTCAGGGGTAAGCTGAGTTTTAGAATCAAGACAGACAAATTGGCTCTGGATAAACAGGCTAGGGAATGTGAAACAATCCCCAGGTATTCCCTGAGTGCTTTTATTTTGGGCCCATCATTGACTTTATGGGCTTTGATGGGTAGAAATGAGTGGTCCTACCTAGACTGAGCTTGGAAGGAGCTTCTGTTCATCTTTAAAGGAGTGTAGACCTAGCTCTGAAGGAACCTCTGGAGCTTCTGGCCATGGAATATGTACATTATTGGGTTAAAAAGCAATCTGATACCACGCACATGTCAAGATTGCTGCTACAGTTAGACATAGAAGCGAGCACTGGGGCCTGGGAGACTGGGTGAATGTCCTGGGGAAATAGGGCTTGAATGGAACCTTAGGTACATGAATAGTTAGAAAGAAGTGGGGAGGATATCAACTGGTGCTTTATAAAACAGCCACTGAGCTATTCATTCTTTAAAGGGCTCTGGTTTTATCATCCTGGTATTTTCCTCACAGTGATCTGTGGTTGGTATTTAATGAGTATATGTTGAATGGAATTATGCCTTGGAGGGTGCAAAGAATCATTCATTCCTTCTTTTTTTGGTACTGGGGGTTGAACTTTGGACCTTGCACTTGCTGGGTAGGTGCGGTGCCACTGAGGTACATCCCTGGCCCTAAGAATCATTCTTTAATATAAATCTTGTTAATTTCTAGTTTCCCCTGATGCTCAATTCTAAAAAAGAAAGGTTTGGACTGGAAAATCTTAAAGGCTCTTCCATGCCTGATATGTCTGGGAATTTGTTCTTTTCTATTCTTTTTTTTTTTTGGTACTGTGGATCAAACTCAAGACCTTGCTTTTGTGAGGCAGGTGGCGGCACCACTGAGCTAAATTCCTGGCCTGGGAATTTGTATTTTTCTGATTCACCAAGAATAAGAGAACCTGTTCAGAATCAAAATTCATTCTGTTAGAACAAACATAAATATAGGGCCGGGGATTTAGCTCAGTGGCACTGTGCCTGCCTCGCAAGTGCAGGTTGATGAGTTCGATCCCCGGTACCAAAAGCAAAACAAAACAAAAACAAAAACAGAAACATAAATATAAGATGTTTATTTGGGATATCCTTTTTGAGAATAGAACAAATTTATCTAATGTCATTCATTCAGTTAGTATTTATTTAGTTCTGCTCCCACCAGGGTTACAATGAAGAACGGAAAGGACCAGCCCTTGTGTTTATAGAGCTTCAGTTTAGAGAGTTCATAAGCAAAGAATCAAATGAGCAGGAAAGCTTTCGGTGGTGGATGATTATGGTAAATAATTAGGAGTTCCTGGTAGGTAGGGGCAGCTTTAGAAAGACCTCTTTACAGAGGTGGCATTTGTGCTGAGCACTGAATGCAGGAGGAAGAAGGGGCTGAGATCTAGGGACAGGGCATCTGAGGGTGGACTGGTGCCTTCTGCAGACCTAGCAGCCTGTGTTGGGTCCTGTAGTTGTAGGGCTTTGGTGTCTGAGAGCTAAGCTTTCCCCTGCTTTGGTTCACAGACAGCTGCCATCAGTTACGACTACTTCACCTCCCTGAGGAGTATCCCATATGGCTCAGAGGAGTACTTGCAGCTTCGATCGAAGGTAAGGGGAGAATGGGGCCCATCTGAGCTAGGTCAGGACAGGGTAAGTCTGAAGTAGCTGCACAGCCAGCAAGCTTCCTGCAGGCAGCTGGAGGAGAGCAGAGAGCAGAGTGGGTATGACATGGGGGCCCTGGGCATGGTGGCTTGGAAGTAGGAGGTGATGACTACCTCCTCTTTCACATGGATGTGTTTTGGTACCTCTCAGTGGTGTTGTCAGATCTACATCAAGCTGGGTTGCGTGGTGCTGAGTTTATCATCTACGAGTTGCTGTCCGGGAGGCTGCTGTGTGTTTCTGGTCAGCCCATTTGTGTGAGAGGACTCAGGAGGGATGTGCCCTCTTGTTCTTGACATTTCTTCCTCCTCTCCTTTCCCCTCTTTTTTTTCCTTTCTCCTCCCTGGCTCTTATTTTATTATTTTATTTTAAGACAGGGTCTCAGTATGTGGCCCAGGTTGGCCTCAAATTTACAATCTTTGAGCCTTAGCCTCCTGGGTAGCTGGGGTTACCAGAATGGGTCACCAAGCCTGTGGCTGCCTGACAACTTCTAAACTGCGTTCTTTGGCAAAACCCACTGGAAGGAGATTAAATGCTTTCTTGTCCTTTGAAGGCCACTTGGAGCCTCTTGTAGGAGAGGAGCTATCAACCCTATGCTCTGTGTGCTCACTTGGACCTAGGTAGTTGATATCCTAGAGAGTTGGAGGATCAAGCAGGAGGGCATTTTTGTGAGATGTAGGTTGAGCCCAAGGTCAAGCATAGTTACTTTTGGCGCCTCCAGACAGAGTTTTGGGTAGGCTGGCTCGTCTTTGCTCAGGTGGTCCCCTCATGCTCCTTTGCCCCTTAGAAAATTCCTACACTTACCCTTTTGGACTCACGTCTGTGATGCGTTCCTTCTCAGGCATCTTTTATGCATATAACGATTGTAAAATTTGTATTTAAACTTTTCATGATGGAAATTTCAATAGTCCACAAGAATAGATAGAATAGTATCATGGACCCTTTTAGAACTGTCATCTAGCTTGAGAACTTATCAATATCTAATTGTCATTTACTGTTTTATTCATTCTTTCATTTATTTTCTATTCATTTATTATGTTTTTTGCTGAGATATTTTAAAGCAAATCCCATGAATCATATTGCTTTATCTATAAATACTTTAGTATGTATCTCTAACAGATAAGGACTTTTGAAAAAACGTAACTGTGGTACTGTGATCATACAAGATTAGCAATTTTAGCCGTTGGTAGGGTGGTGCACAGCTGTAATCTCAGCATCAGGAAGCTGAGGCAGGAGGGTTACCACGCATTCAAGCTACATAGTGAGTTCAAGGACAGCCTAAACTACAAAGAGACTCTGTCTCAAAAAACAAAAAACTAAACAAAACAAAACAGATTAACAATTCTTTAATAATCTCTAATAGCTAGTTCTGTCAAATTTCCTTAGATCCCAAAAGTGTCTTTTTAAAAAAAAAAATGATTTTATTGGTACATTTTAGGCATACAATATAATGACATTCATCATTGGGAATTCGTACTTTACATAATATATCTTGGTTCTTCTGTTTTCCCCATTCCTCTGCCTTCCCTTCAACCCTTCCACCCCTCCTTCTTTACAAAGAATTTGTTTCCATTTTTTCATATTAATTCCATTCCCTTCTTTCTTTTCCCTCACCCCACCCACTTTCCCTTCCCCTTTGGACCTTTCTTCCTATCACATTATCTATTATACCTTTTGATCCTATTTATGCTTTCAGTTTCTCACACCAGAGAAATTATGCAGTATTTACACGTGTGTCCTATTTATTTCACCTAAGAGTATTGCCTCAATGTGCATCCATTTAGCTATAAATGCCTCTAATTTCTAATTCTTATGGCTGAGTAGTACTCCATTTTATAAAAAAAACACATTTTCTTTATCCAGTCTCTAGTTGATGGGCCATTGGGCTGTTTCCACGTTTTATCTATTACAAACTGTGCTGCTATGAACATAGGTGCACATATATCTTTGTGGTATGATTCTTTTTAATTCTTTTGGAAAGATACCTCTGAAGATAGTTGGGCCATATGGAACCTCTAATCCTAGTTCTTTGAGATATCTCCATACTGATTTCCACAGGGGCTGCACCATTCTACACTCCCACCAGCAGTGGAGAAGGGTTCCTCCCCCCCCCCCTGCAACCCTCAGCCTTTGTTATTGGTTGATTTCATGACAGCAGCCATTCTTTCTGGGGTAGGGTTGAATCTCAGTGTTGTTTTCATTTGCATTTCTCGAATGACAAGTGATGTTGAACATTTTTTCTTTTTCTTTTCACTGAGTTTTTAAAAATTGAGTTTGTTGGTACTTTTTAAGTATATAGTATAGTTACATTCATCATTGGGATCCTTGTACATGACAGATCTTAGTTCTCATTTTTTTCCGTACCCCTGCCCTCCCTTCACCTCCTCTACCCTCTCCTGTTTACAAAGACTTTGTTTTCATTTTTCCTTTTCTCATATTTTTTCTTTTCCCTTATTTCTTTCCCCTACCCTTCCCACTTCCCCTAAACCTTTAGCCCTTTTCTTCCTATTTCACATTATCAGTTATACAATTTGGGTCTTATTTACACTTTTAGTTTTTCATACCAGAGAAACTATTTGGTATTTACACGTGTGTCTTATTTATTTCACTTAAGAGTATGACCTCAATATGCATCCATTTTCCTATGAATGAGTCTAGTGAACATTTTTTCATATGTTTATTTGCTATTTCTACTTCTTTGTCTGAGAAATGTCCCCCAAGTGTCTGTTTTTTTTTGGTGCTGGGGATCAAACTCAGGTCCTTATGCTTGCAAGGCAGGCAGCAGAACCTCTGAGCTAAATCCCTGGCCCCCAAAAATGTCTTTTTATAATTAATTTCAATCTGGATCCAACAAGGTACATGTACTACATTTGGTTAACATTTCTAAATCTTTTAAAATCATATAGCATTTCCTTTTCCTCCATCCCTTTATCTTCTTTTTTTTTCTTTTTTTTTTTTTTGGTACCAGGGATTGAACTTGGGTCCTTGTGCTTGCAAGGCAGACCACCAAACCACTGAGCTAAATCTCCGGCCCCTCTTTTCTTTTTTATTTAGCTATTTGCTTGCTGAAGAAAGCAAAGATCATTTGTTTTGTAGAATTTTCCACATTCAGGATTTGGCTGATTGCACCCTCAAAATGTTGTTTAATGGGAAATATGTTTAAATGGCACACAATTCAAAATGTATAATATTTGAAATAGACAAAATGACCCTCCTACCCTTTCTCTTCAGGTACCCAGTTTTCCTGCTTGGAGGCAATCATTATTTCTTGTGTGTCTTTTCAGAGATATCTTTCTATTTGAATTTAATCACTCTATCTTTATTCCTGCCACAAATGATAGTTGGTCTTTCTCTTCTTTTAGACTATTGGTTCCTTTATGTTGGAGACTGGGTATTCTTTTTGTGTATCCTGTCATTAGTGATGATACCTACATAGACCAGAGTTGATTTAATGTCTGTTGAAGTGCCAGGCTGTATGCTACTAGCTCCTTGCCTTTGGAGAGGCCCCAGAAAGAGTCTAAGATTTGCATTTTTTTTTTGGTATCGGGGTCGAGCTCAGGTCCTTGAGCTTGTAAAGTAGGCAGTGGAACCACTGAGCTAAATCCTTGGCCCAAGAGTCCACAATTTGCAGTCAGAAGACTTGAGTTTGTGCCTTGGCTTTGGGAAGGTCATCTAGCCTTTTGGAATTGCTGTTCTCCTGATCTATAAACTAGAGATGGTTATATCACTTACTGAGGCTTATGTAAATAATATATGAAACAAAACTGGACCTTATAAAATATTAAGCAGGCATGAAAATAAGTCAGATGTCTCCTGGAAGTTATGCTGCATGCAGACAGGCTTGGTCCATGCTGTGTATATCTAGGTCTGCAGCACTTTACAAGAGTAACCAGGATGCCGGCTGGTCCTGAGTAGACTTGTTAAAAAATTGGTTGAGTGAAATGTTGGTTTTTATTGGCTTCAAAGCCTCAGTCTCTAAAACTTAATGTACTTCTACTTTCACCAACTCCTCTTTTCATCTAACCAGTGCTGTGAGTCTTTGAACCCACCACAGTGACATTCTGTAGGGAGGCTCAGGCCGGGACACAAGGGCAAAGCCCCCGTCTTGAGAAATCTGCAGAGCAGGCAGACGATGAGTGTCGTGAAGATGTTTGCCTGTCCACATGTAGGTCATCTGAAAGGTAGAAATGTCGCAGCTCCTGAAGAAGTTGACAGCGCTGGGGATGCAGTAAGTAAAGCACAGCCTGGCATTTGATGAGAGGGTAACAGCTCATGGTGGCTGGCACCAGATAACAGAGCATAGCTTGGTCCCTAGGAGTTGTGCCTGGGAAGGGGCGAGTGGCTGGCATGAAAGAGCATGAGTAAATATTGCAGGAATGTTTTTTTTCCATTGGAGTGTGTATCCACTGTCATCATCATGGCTGATAAAGAAATGAGCGAAGGATAAAACATTATCTCACCCAAGAGACTAGCACAGCAGGCAGTGACTTCAAGAAGCACTTTCAAGGTTGGTGCTGGCAAGCTGGGTTCTTAGTGACTCAGCTCTGTGTCAGGAGGGTGGGGAGCCAGCATAAAGACACAGGTCTTAGGGGCACACTGGCACTTTGCTGGCAGCTGAGGGGTTGGGGAAGTGCTCAGGGGCTTTGGAGAAGAGATTTCTGGTGTCCAGAGTACCCATAAACTGAGATGTGTGTGACCTGGCCTGTTAATAAAACAGAAGGAAATTGCTGTTGGTGTGGGTGTCCAGGTAAAAGGGCTGGAGGTGGTAGGACAGAGCTGATTTGACCAAGGGGTTAAGATGTATTGGATCTTTATTAATTTTTGCAGCTTAGGAGCCATTCTCATTTTGGGGCACAGCATATAGCATTTCTTGGGGAGCCACCCTATCTCATGGGGAGTCCATTCGCTGGCCATAGAGATTGATTCAGGGATGAGCACCTGAGCCGGTT